TACATGATACTATAAGGTATCATACAAGTTTTAGTGTGTACTATCAATAATTATATTAATATACTTATTCATTTATTTTGAAGAGACATAAAAATCAGTATTTACTATTTTGTGATCGATCTAATTAAGAGGTAAAGTGTTGATTGACCTTACTCACGTCAACAAAGCTGGTTATACTCCACCTATTTAATAATTCCCGCAATCAAAGCTGGTTATTCTTCACTTATGGAAGTGACAAGGAATCTACCTAATTCTCAATAAATTTAGACATGCAATTAAAGAGCATTCAACAATAATAGTGTATTTGCTTCATACGATGTGATATTATTAATGTTAACAACAATAGGACATATATAAAATTGTGGAGGTGATTCATGTTGTCTCTCACCACGCACAACTCAAATGGCCGTCGCTATCTCCTTTTTTACAGTGGTGTCAGCTGCCAGTCATGGGTCAGCAAGAGGACTCACTGACTCTGCCCCTCTGTTTTCACCGAAATGGAACACTATTAACCAACCCCTTCAAGTTCAACCAAACATGCTCTGCTCCCTTTCTCCTTCCTCTATACCCCCACTTATTAGCCCGTACACTCGTTAAATCTCTCAAACTCGACCCGATTCTCTCTGAATTTGATTTCATGTGCCTCCTTGATTGATTTCGCCTTGACCCATTGGGCTAAATTCGCCAAAGATTCAAGCTTTTTCTGAAGCTATGAGCCATAAAGCTGCAATCTTGATTGTTTTGTTTGTGTTCGGAGCTGCCCCTTTGTGTTGTTCTTCGTATCCCACCCCCCTCAACTGTTCGGACCCGGGGCGCCTCTGCAGCTCCTTCTTGGCCTTCAAGCCCGGCCCGGATGAGACTCTCCCTGTGATCCAGAGCATGTTTGATGTGTTGCCACATGACATCACTGTGGAGGGTAATGGCAGAGATTATGTGTTCATCAGGAAGAACTGTTCTTGTGCTCTGGGTAATAACCAGTACTTAACCAACACCACTTTCACAGTTAGGCAGAGCAATGGATCTGTATATGATTTGGTGATTGATGCCTATGATGGGTTGGCCTATTTTCCCACTAATTTTACCAGAGAGGCCAAGAAAGGGGCAGTGGTTTCTCTCAAGCTTATGTGTGGGTGCTCAAGTGGGCTCTGGAATTACTTGATGAGCTATGTGATGGAAGATGGGGATACTGTGGAGTCTCTAGCTAGTAGGTTTGGGGTTAGCATGGATAATATTGAGTCTGTCAATAGGATTCAAAATCCTGATAATTTCACTTCTGGTGCATTATACTACATACCATTGAATTCAGGTATTTCTCTATGGTATTAGTATCTGTTCTTTTCTAAATTTGATGTTGTTAATTAGTTTTCTGAATTCAATTTGGGTTATTTGGTTAATTTGTGTTTGGTTGTGGACTTTTGGGGATTTTAGTTGGTAGGGCAGTTTATTCACTGTGTGATTCTTGATTCTTGAATAGAGATAGAATATGCAATGGTATAGTGTTAGGCCTTTGCTCTAGAACAGCTTGATAAACATTAACTTTTACTCTCATTTAATCTCAATTCTTGTTGATTTTCCAGTTCCTGGTGAACCATATACTGTGAAAAATGACACTCTTCCAGCTCCAGTTCCAGCACCATCTGATGCTGATATTACGGGTACGCTTGATCCCTTCATTAGCAACAAAAATATGCTTTCTTATTGATATTATTAGTTTATTACACTTCCTGCAATTGATGCATTCTAGAAGTCTTCCTTTCTGTTTACATGAATGGCTTTTTTGCCTGCAGGAATCGAGACAGATCATAAGCGTCATGTTCCATATCGGTGGATAATCGGGGGTTTAGGTGTTGGTCTTGCTCTTATTGTCATAATCATTGTGGCTCTCGTTTCCTTTAGATCATCCAACTGTTTTTCCAGAGACTTTGAGGGTCGTACTGCAGATTCTAATCAGAAAAATAATTCTCACAAGTTCCAAATTCTTCGAAATACAAGTTTATGTTGCCCCTCGGGACGGTCCATCTGCTGTAAATTGGGGGACTGGAAAGAGCCTAATGCGGAACCTAGTAACCGTCAAATGAACAATATTCCCAAAGGTTTGGATTTTTGATGAAAATGTGTTTCGTAAATGTGAATTTGATGCGTTGAAAGTACTAAAACTTGTTCCAATTGTCTTACAGTGATAGGGACCGATGTCTTTGATATGGAGAAACCTCGGGTTTTTACATATGAAGAAATTTTTTCGTCAACTGATGGCTTCTCAGACGCCAATCTTCTTGGAAATGGGACATATGGTTCTGTGTATTATGGCCTCCTTCGTGATCAGGTCACTCTTCTATCCTTTGCCAATATTGGTACATTAATTTTTATTTCTTATTTTTGGTACGTCTGACGGGGGGATCAAAAGTTCAGGAGGTTACAATCAAAAGAATGACCGTGACTAAAACGAAAGAGTTTATGGCAGAGATGAAACTTCTGTGCAAAGTGCATCATACAAACCTGGTAAGACATGTTGAACTTTCTATTTATACCAATTGCTGTTATATTTCGAGCTCGATTGTGGCACGTATGACACTTCCAGTTCCAGACTGTTGACGCCTTTTTTGGTTTGAATATGTCAAGGTAGAATTGATCGGTTATGCAACCAGCAATGATGAACTCTTCCTTATTTATGAATACGCCCAGAAGGGTTCTCTTAGAAGCCACTTGCACGATCCTCAGAATAAAGGTGCAATTCATCTCTCTCTCGCAAACTTGGAAAAAATCCAACCGGGCTATAATGTATATGAGCCAAACCACACTAAAAAATTGAATCCAACCAATTAGTTAGTCTAACCCTGGCCTTATAAACCCATATGTTCTCTCTTATTTTATTGGGACTGAGAGAGGAATTCACATTCCCATTGATCCGTGCAGGTCATACATCACTCTCCTGGATCATGAGGATTCAGATTGCCCTCGATGCTGCCAGAGGATTGGAATATATTCACGAGCACACCAAACCTCACTATGTGCATCGTGATATAAAGACGAGTAACATTGTGCTTGATGGCTCCTTTAAAGCAAAGGTTCTAGCCATTCCACTCCGTTGCCTTTTGTTCTCGGTCTTCCATTCCGATTTAACTAACTCCCGACTCTTAACAGATTTCAGATTTTGGTTTGTCAAAACTCGTGGGGATAACTAACGATGGAGAAGCTTCGGTCACGAGAGTTGTTGGAACTTACGGTTATGTTGCTCCAGAGTGAGTGAACATACAACAGTATTATACAATAACTCAGAATAGGACATTCAACATTGCCCGTTCTTATTACTTTTATTTTATCTGGCTATTTGCAGATACTTACGGGATGGCCTGGCGACAACTAAGAGCGATGTCTATGCATTTGGTGTCGTTCTTTTTGAGATAATTTCAGGGAAAGAGGCAGTTACTCGAACTGAAGGCGGCACTGCTGTTAAAAACGCTGAAAGGCGCTCATTGGTATCCATTGTAAGTCCCGCTACTTGAACGGATTAATCAGTCCGCTCCTATAGAAGTGTTAGACTGCCGAAATGCCTAAAAGTTACAAAATCACTCATTTATTGCAATTGAAGCGCTCCATCTCAACTAAAAGCTTAAGCTGATAGTTAGATTGCACATTAATGGTTATATGCTCAACAATTGCGATTGATAATTGCAGATGCTAGCAGCTCTCAGAAATTCCCCCGACTCCACGAGTATGTCTGCCTTGAAGGAATGCGTTGATTCCAATTTGATGGACTTGTACCCTCATGATTGTCTTTTCAAGGTAAAACTCATTGACCAACCATTCCTATTCCTCCATCGATACATACATAATTAGCTAAGCCGGTTTGTCTCTTTGCTTTGTAGCTCGCTACGCTAGCAAGGCAATGTGTAGACGACGACCCTATCCTAAGACCGGACATGAAGCAAGTGGTGATATCGCTTTCGCAGATCCTCTTGTCATCGGTGGAGTGGGAAGCAACGCTCGCGGGGAATAGTCAAGTTTTCAGTGGCCTTGTTCAGGGAAGATAAGTAACAGTTTTCCCTCGAGAACAAAGGCTAGTTTGCCTCATTTCCACGCGTTTTTTGTATATAGTAGTGCAGAATCCATCGCGGTGGCTCCTGCATATACATGTGCCAATCTCGTTATTTATGTTGTTAGCTCCATTCACGGCGGGGACAGTGTATTCTTTGATTTCTTTTGCTCTGCATACGTCCGAGATTCAGAGGTAGAGGTGTTTGTAAGCATTTTTATGCCACGGGAGACTTGAAACATGTTTGGAAGAAGGAACAACTTTTGTATCTCTTGAAATGAGTCTATACATTGTACAATAGGCTCTATATAAACTATAAAGTATATATTGACTTATCTGAGATCGGTGTTTGGTTTGATAGAAATCATAGAATAGAATTAGAATCTGTGCTATTCTAAAGCTATCTTGTTCCGGCAGGAAGGGATTGAATCTCTGTGAGATATTGGGGTGATATATGATTCTGGTTTTAGCTACAAGCCTACAATTTACTTCCTTGAACAAAAAAAGGACCTTTTGTAGCTGAATGTTTGCGTTTTATGTAATCTTTTTCCAATATTTGCAAAATAATAATAATAATAATAATAATAATAGAAAAAAAGTTAAATAAGCCTTCAAACTTTAACTGAAAAGTCAATTAGCTTCTAAACTATAGCTGAAAAGTCAATTACATATCTTTTGTGGATTTATCAATTATTATATAAAAACAAAATTCGTCATACAAATTTGTCTTGTTACTCAAACAAATCAGATGATAACTATCATAGTCATTGATTACATTTTAATAGGTTCTAAATATAGATTCGAATCTCTACGTTAACCGATAAAAATTGAGTACGGTATACTCACCCTACAAAGAAGTCTTTTTTGAGGAATACAAAGAAATTTTGTTTTATTTTTATTTTTGTGTGCAAATTTTAAGAATGGGGAAGAGAAATTAATAAAACAAAAAAACAAAACGGTAAAGGAAGTCGTTCACTTGTTCCCGTTCCCGGCTCAGCTTCTGGCCGTTTTTTTACAGCTGCCGAGAAATTCCTCCCAGAAACCCTCGCAAAATCATAAACCTCAATCACTTCTCTTTCCTTAAGCCTTAAACCCTAAACCCTCTGAACTCCCTCTCGGCTCTCGCTCTCTCTACGGATGGCCAATTCAAGCAAGTGCGTAAAGCACATTGAGTCGTACGTTAGTTCATCCACCTCTCCAGCTCAACAGGTTCATGCCCATTCTTTTTTTGCTTTCCTTTTCTTAGCTTATCCTTTCCTTGCTTTTGATATTACAAACAATTTAGGTGACATTTAGCCCGGGTATATTTCACAACCTTAACCTTTCCTTTTTGGTTCTTATATTAATCTGTTAAATTTTGCTGAGTAACACTAAGAATCTTCAGTTGTCTAATTGCTAGTTGCGTTTACTACCTTGTATACGCAGTTATATTCTGTTTTATGGTGTTGTGCTCTTGTAATGTGTGTTTGGATTACAGGCTGCAATTGTAGACACTATTGCTGCCCTTGTGAAAAATGACTTGTTGACTCTAGAGGAGCTGGTATGTTTATTGAACTCTTCTCCTATACGTTGCAAATGTGTATGTGCATTTGTCATTGCTTGGGAGTTAAAAAGATGTTTAATTTATAGGTTAGAGAGATGGAGATGTATTTGACAACTACTGATACCATCATCCGCTCAAGAGGTAACTCTTTTTTTCCCCCTGTTCTTTATAAGTTTTTAGGTTTATTTTGGGGAAACCATTGGATTATTGGTAACATCTATCAACATAGTTAGACCTTGCTTAGAAAAGAATTGAAAATAGAAAAAACAATATGGATGTGTACTTTCCACTTCAGTATATTGGCAATTCAGCTTTCTCTCTTAAGCTCAAAAACTGGACAAAAATGGTCACACAATATTGTAAATTGGACATACATGGTATTTTCATTAGGTTCCCTAATGGAACTCTAACTGAAGGACCGTTTTTGTTCATTCAACAATTTGGCAATAGTTTAGGAACCATTCTTGTCTACTTTTTAAGTTTTAAATTGGGTGGAAATAGTGGAATTGCTACTATACCAAGGGACCAAAAGTGTCACAAGTTCTAGCTTTATTATTCATTTTTGCTAGTATAAATTACTTTCATCTGTTACCTAAAGCATTATTTTCTTTTTCGTATATGTGATTTTGTAATTTCCCATATTTAGTGCTCACTGGGTACTATCTATTAATCCACTGGGGCTTTGCAGGTTACTGTCCCATTATGAATTAACAAGATATATTATTCCGTGCCAATATTGAATAACATAATACTTGTCAAAAAAGATTGTAAAGGTTGGCTAATACAGAGGAATTGGCTGGATCTTGTTTAATGATTTGCATCACCTTTCACTATATATACGATATGAATATAAACATCTTTATGCTGCATTGAACTTTTAACTATGGTTGCCTATGAGTCTCACATATAAGCCTTGTTGAGCTGTTAATGTAACTGTATTGTAATTATTGATGGTTGTGTCGGTATTCCTTTCATTTCTTAAGGCATGCATATTACTTTACTTTGTTTCTCAATCTTTTATGCTTTCTATTTGACATGGTTTCTTCCAGGGATCCTCCTCCTCGGGGAACTATTGACACAACTATCATTGAAGCCTTTAACTGATGCTGCTATACAGAGCTTGATAGGATTCTTCATAGAGAGGCTGGTGAGAGAACAATCTAGTCTAGTATAATAAAAAGAAAGATTCTTTTAAATTATTTCTAGATTCCAACCAAACTAGTTCCAGTTCTTGTCTTTTTTTTTTTTCTTTGAATATCTCGTGTTACATACCAACTACACCTGTCAGTTATCATTTGAATTCTGTTCGATATATGATGTTTTACTCATATCAGGCAGATTGGAAAGCTTTGCGTGGTGCTCTAGTTGGTTGTTTGGCACTATTGAGGAGGAAAATTGATGTTGGCATGATCACAGACAGTCAAGCAATGGCTGCTGCACAATCTTTTTTGGAGAACATGCAAGTGCAGTCCTTGGGACAGCATGACAGAAAGGTATAGTAAGGTTATGCACTTAAGCATTGTTGATTGTCTATCAAATCCTAGCAGGCTAACCTCTCCTCATTAAACATTTGACATGGATTTAGCTATCTAAACCTGCCTTCTGAACTTAGCATATCATTCTTGCAGCTCTGCTTTCAAATTTTGGAATGCCTATTAAATTGCTATCCTGATGCAGTTGAGCCGTTGGTAAGTTCACTGTGATTCTTTTTACTGTTTTCCTTGTGGTTGTGCCATAGACAGAATAACTGTAAATTTAAGTTCTTAATTTTCTTTCAATTTAGTTATCCTACATTGCAATGCTAGAAGTATCTGCTTTCATCTTCCTATAACCCCTTATTACCATTATAGTAAATCTGCCCCATCCAGATTCAGACCATAAATTATGATTCTATGTCCAAAAGTTGACACTTGGTTTGACACTGCATGGGACTCTAGTCCGCCATTGTAGATTGGGGTGTCTAGTGATCACTATAAGAGGAAATTAGCCATAGGCCTAAGTAAGACCTAGAAAAAAACTTGAGTAGTGTAATTAATCCAATTAAAAGTTCACTCCATGATCATTTGTCCCATGGCCAAGCAGAATGCTCTCACTTATTGTTCTGGGCTTGACACTTGGATTTCTGAAGTACTTGTAAAAACTGTTTTTAATAATCCAGGAGCAATGCTTTGAGTTCCTATCTTGTTAATTTTGGATGCTTCTAAACTTTTGAGGCTTAGGTTTACTGTGGCATCCACTGATACGTCTGAAGTTCTTTTTTGTCATATCAAATATCTGAACTGATTCTTTCTAACCATAAGATGTTTTCAGTTAATCAGAAAACATAAAGATTTTGTTTCTCCTTTCTGATGGTGTCCTAGGGTGATGTCCTTGTTTATGGAATTTGTGAATCAATTGATGGAGAAAAGGATCCGCAATGCTTGGTGCTCATATTTAGGATTTTTGAAGCTCTAGCACGATTATTTCCTCATTCTTCTGGGTCACTTGCAAGTTATGCAGAGGATCTTTTTGAGATTCTTGGATGTTACTTCCCTATCCATTTTACACATGTGAGATCATTGAACTTCAATCTTACTTTATTTTGTAAATATTCATCTCTCTATTACTTAAAATATATTTTCCACAATTGTGAAGTCAAATTTGAAGTTCAAATAGCACATTTTTAATGCTTGATCACTTTTATGGTTCTGGTTATGTTTGTGTTTGCCACTTTGTAGTTATCATCTTTCATATGCTGCTGCTTTTGTTATTTTTGATATTCAGTCAAAAAGTGAAGATGCCGATATAAAGAGGGAGGAGCTCTCGCAAGCACTGATGGTATGTTCTTCACTTAAATGTACTATATTTTAACATTAAGGCTTCCATTTGGAAACACAATCGTACTTTGTGCTTCCTTTATTGATATTTCTACTTGTAAGGAAAAATATTAGTTAGTCCAACAAATGGTTCTACGAGAAGGTTGAGCCATCATAAGGAATACATGTTAGATCTATTTGTTGAGGCATGTGCTGATTGGAACTTATACCTTCAATTTGTTAATCTGCCTAGGATATGCCCCCAGAAATATGACTTGATACGTATATATCAAGAGATTCCATCACCTAATCTTTGATGTATGGTTGTTGATTTTAACTTGCATTGTTTGTTTAAATTGTTTTATGCTAAAGAGCAAAGCCTTGAAAATGGTCACTGGTCAGTTTTGTACTCTTTGTTAGAAAGGTATATGTAAAATATAATTTCTTCACAAAATTAAGGCACCAAGATGATACTCACAAAAGTATGGCAAAGGGTTCCAATTCAAAGGAATCTTTTGAAGTCCAAAGAGTAGGACATGTGAAAAAATGCCTACAAACTTGTCCACACCAAATGAATAGGATTCACAGACAGTCTGAGCACCAGTGCCAATAGCCCCACAAAGCAGGGTATGTTCCTTTAGTTCGGAACCAACCACATAAGACATAGGGAGGCACATATCTTTGGTAGGGCTTGTACAGTTAATCCTTTATTATATACTTAATATATGGTTATTGCATTTTGTTTTGGATTTGCTTTAATGGCTACATGAACATACTTATTATTATTATTATTATTATTATTATTATTATTATTATTATTATTATTATTATTATTGTTATTATTGTTATTATTATTATTATTATTATTATTATTATTATTATTTTCATATTCTTACATTTTTTATGTTTTCCAGCTGGCATTTGCGTCTACACCTGTTTTTGAACCATTTGCAATTCCTTTACTTCTTGAGAAACTATCTTCTGATTTGCCGTCAACAAAGGTTAGTTCAACTAACAGTTAAACATTGTCATTTGAAGTTGGAGTTGATATCCTTTTTTATTGTTACTTTTCAACTCTTCATGGAAACAGGTTGAATCTCTAAAGTACCTTAGCTATTGCACATCAAAATATGGGGGAGATAGAATGGCAAAGTATTTTGAAGCTCTTTGGTCTGCATTGAAAGATGTTTTATTCATTAGACCACAATCCACTTTGTCAATAGAATTTGAGTTAGTTGACGGTATGGGTTTTCAAGAGAGTGAAATAATGATTCAAGCCCTTGAGCTGCTTCAGATGGTTGTTCAGCGAAGTAATGGTTCATTCTTAAGTTTTATCCTGGCTGATGAGGACATAAAAACATTTATGAACTCATTAAATGGGTTAAAAGATTTTGACAATGCTTCTGCACAGAACAAACAGCGATTGCATGCAGTTGGTTGTATTCTCTCAGCTTCTGCCAGATCTTCTTTTGCTTCTTGTGATGCAGTTTTCCAAAATTTCTTTACTAGCTTAATGGATGCTCTAACGTTTTCAGTTGAAATTCCATCTAAAGATAGTGTTGTTCTTTCTAGAAGATTCAATTTTGGAGCCTTGTATCTCGCTGTCGAACTACTGTGTGCATGCAGATGTTTGGTGTTGAACTGTGATGGTCTCACACCTATTCCTGATTTTCTTAGTATGGCTTGGTGCTGCATATTATGTGGCTTCTCTACTTCATTGAGCAATTCTTTAATTTCTCTTCTGCAAACAACTAGTGTGGAAAGCACTCCAAACACTTATGTTTACTATGGAGGTATATGGAATGCTCTTAGCTAACACAATGTCTGTTCTCTCACTTTCTGGATTATTTAAGCCAACGTCTTTTAACAACACCACTTCTCTGTTTTCAAATGTAGTTAAAGGTTTGCAAACTCTGGCAATGTTCCCGGGAAGCTTCACTCAGGTGCCAAAGCCCATTTTTGAGAACGTTTTGTTAACATTGATGTCAGTCATCACTACTGATTTCAACAAAACATTTTTATGGAAAACTGCATTGAAAGCTTTGGTAGATATTGGCTTCTATGTTGATAAATCCTCTGAAGATGAGAAAGTAGCGAGCTTTGAAAGTGTAGTCATGGAGAAAATTGGGTTCTTGATATCTTCTAATGACCTTACTGTGCCTTTGACACTCAAACTGCAAACAACTTTTGATATTGGAATGACTGGGAAGAAGTTTATGCACAGAGCAGTTCAGGAATTGGACAAGACACTATTCGACAATTTGTCTCAGATATTTGTACGTATATTGTTTGAAACCATTACAGTATGCTGGCATAATGAGGTGTCTTAGATATACAAATATACCAGTGTAACATGTAGCAAAACACCAAAATTTGCTAGATAATATTATGTACATGAGGTGTTAGAAAGAAAATAATCATTACATACCCAGCAATTGCTTTAATATGCGTCTCCGACCTCCCAGTTCTTTATTCATTATTGTCTTTGTGATTATTTTTTAACATGGGCTATGACAGGTCAGTGAGAATGTAAAATCAACTGAGTTGACAATCCCGCTTTTGGACTGTTACTCTAAGAATGTCCTTCCCTGGTATGCAGTTGTTCTCAGTCTCTACATGCTATTCTCTGTAACCGTCAATTTTTAAATTTTTTGCTGCCTTGCTGTTATATTCTCACAAATGTGCTGCTGCCATCTTGCCACTATATCCTCTCAACCATTTAGTCATGTGACTGTGGCTCTGATATACATGTATATATAGCTGTATATACCTCTGTACATATCATGGGCAGTGCAAGGTCTTGCTCTCCAAATATAATACTTCTCAAATTCCAATTTCAGTTTCCAGTTACTAGTTTCAACTTCACTTCAGTTTTTAGTTTGAGCTTGAAGAATCAGGATTTGGTATGAGTTCATTGAAGATTATTATTGATCTTTTAATGCAAGTTGAAGATATTGCATGTGCTCCAACTTAAGGAGTGTCAGGAAATGATGAATTATCAAATTTCTGTATTTAACACACTGTAAACTAAAGAGTCTTAGGGTAACATGAGTCATAGTCTCTCAATTATCACATGTAGAAAGAATAGCCATGATCTAGATTCTAGACCTCATTTATATCCCTCCTAGCTTACAAATACTAGGCTCTTGTGGTAATTCTCTACCACCTGCTGGACCTTAAACCTCATTATTTCTTTACAGTCATATATGTGCTTCAAATTCTCCAATTAGTATCTTTTATTCATTGTCAGTTATTTTATGTTTCTTTGCTAAATACTTTTCTAACAGTGTCCAAAGGCTCCACTGAAGCTGGCTACTGTTTGTTAGTCAGTCATGGAAGTTTCCAACGGACAAAAATGACGTGTTTTCTTCAAGATTTTGAATTTAAACCATTGTGAAAATCAAACTTAACAGTAACAAGACCCAGCTATTTTGATTTAGAATGGATACAATTTGATTAAAACTATAAATGTATTTCTTTGCATTCTTCCTTCTTATTTCAAAATAACCATATTTACTATACAATTGGAACTAGTGTGCAGTAATTTATTATGTGTCCAGGTTTCATGACAACGGAGGTTCTGAGGAAGTCTCATTGAATCTTGCATTTAATATTTTGGAAAAGATTGAGAAAAGTACGCATTCCAGCATTGGTTTTCAGGAAAGTGTAAGTGAATGGGTGTATCCAACACTCTTTTGCTCATAACATTAAAATTTTATGGATGTTAGTTTTCTATCATATTGATAGTATCAATAGTGGTTGACTTGTGAGTGGATTTTTGTACTAATTACTCAGGAACTTCTTGATGCAATAATGATTGCACTGAAGCATGCTGTAGCCAGCTGTTCAGAGGAAAACCAGGAGAGAATTATTAAAAAAGCTTTTGACCTAATTTCTTCAGGTTCATTGAAGGATTTGAAGCCTTATACTACACCACTCAACTCCAATGGAGGACAACTTACTAGCATGTTGGAAGGCATTTCTTGCAGAGATGAATGTATTATCTCACTCATTGCATCAGTCATAATAGCTTTGCGCCCTCAAACTCACATACCGAATCTTAAACTGCTATTACAGTTATTTCTAATGACCCTCCTCAAAGGTCACATTCTGTCAGCTCAGGCATTGGGATCTTTGGTTAACAAACTACCTTTAGAGACCAGTATAAAAAATTTTAATCTGGAAGAAGCAATAGATGTGTTATTTAACAATGAAATTTGGATTTCCTGCAATTTTTATGATGGAAATAAATGCTCCACCCTGGACAATGGTAGTGCTATAGATTTCAGCAGTCTAAGGATAAATGGTTGTGATGTGTCTTATAAGATTCATGCTCTTGTTGGATTGGCCTGGATTGGGAAAGGGTTACTTATGCGTGGTCATCAGAAGATAAAAGACATTACTAGCACTTTTGTGAGTTGCTTACTTTCAAATGGAAATGTTGGGGCCTTTGAAGAGTTGGATGGTCAGTTGAAAGACAACAAAGAGCTAGAAGTGATCTCTTTGAGGAAATCTGCTGCAGATGCATTTCATGTTCTTATGAGTGATTCAGAAGCTTGTTTGAACAGACATTATCATGCAACTGTTCGCCCACTTTATAAGCAGCGATTTTACAACATGGTGTTGCCTATATTATTATCTTCGATTTTGGAAATTGATTCACCAACTACTAGGTATGAATTGAGAACTTATCATGGACATAATAATTTAATATTGTATATAATTCATCTTTATACATACTTTTGTGACATGTTTATCTTTTGCACTGTTGCTCTGCTTTTATACTTGTAGTATTTAGTAGCCTCTATATTTTCTGCTTTCAGGTTCTGATTGTTTAATTTTTGGTTGAGTACTCTATCTTCTTTTGATTTTCAAAACTTTTGTGCAAATGTTTTTTTTTTTTTTTTTTCACTGTTAGTTTATTGTTATTTTCTTTCTAGTTCCAAGCTCTCTTGATGCTGCGGGATTCACTGTGTGATTATATTTTCTTCGCTTCAGATTTATCAACTCTCTTTTTGGTTTCAGATCCTTGCTATACCGAGCCTTTTCACATTTGATATCTGGTGCTCCTCTGATTGCCGTCGTGAGTGATGCCAAAAAGGTAAGCAAATACCAATATATCCATAGCCAAATCATTTTTATGATTGCACTGCAAATTAATTCTTGCAAATTTGGAACCTTGTTCTCAGGTTATCCCTGTACTAGTAGATTGCCTATTCATGTTGCAAAAGGATGCTCTTGACAAAGATATAATCTTCAGTGTCTTATTAGTACTCTCTGGAATATTGATGGATAAAAATGGTATGCCCTGTTACAATATTCTATCTTGTTATGAAGAAAATGATTTTGCCATGGAGTACTCGATTGTACGTGCACAAAATTTGGTGTTAAGAGTCCTACATTGAAAATATAAGAGAGAACATATAGTTTATAAGGCCATGGGTTAGACTAGCTAATTGATTGGATTCAATCTTTTAGTGTAGTTTGGTCCCAGCCCAATTGAGTGACCTTGGTCCAATCTTAGATTATAACATGATATCAGAGCTTGTGTGTTTACCCAGTTGTCTTATTGTCTACCTATGGTTTAGTTAATATACATGGTTCTTCAATTTTACCAATACATCATACTGTTGCAGCAAAGGAAGCTGTTATAGAAAATGCGCATCTCATTGTCCACCAACTTAATAACCTCGTTTCCTATCCCCATATGATGGTAAGCATAGTCCTTGCACATTCAAATCTCTTTTCCGATCTTTCTCCCATACTTAATTCTACATTCTTTCACCTATATCTCTGTGTTTCAAATCATTTTGTCATGCTCGAACTTTTCAGGTAGTCCGAGAAACAGCAATTCAGTGTCTTGTTGCCTTGTCAGGGCTACCCCAATCAAGAATATATCCTTTGAGAAAAGAGGTTAGGTTCCATGCAAAATGCTAATCAGAATTTGCTGAAAACAGATTACAGAGTACAAATCACATACAGAAACTGAGAAACTGACTTATCTAATGAACACATTGACTATGTTAATTGTCGTTAGTAATTTTACTAATTTTGTTAAGGGAGAAGGAAACATCTTATTCTAACTTCCCGTAATATCGGCCTCCCTCTCGAATTGAGTAATTCTGAATCAAGAATTTCATCAGCTCTGCTATACCCACTTTTAGTCAAATTTTATGCTGTCGTTTTTCAGGTTTTGCAAGCTATATCAAAAGCTCTTGATGATCCAAAGAGAGTTGTTCGTCAAGAAGCAGTCAGATGTCGGCATGCTTGGTTAGAAATCGAGGGTAGATAGTTTTTGTTTTGATATTAGTAATTAAAAGAATGTTCATATGATAAACAGACTTGAAAGCATGTTTACATTTGTACGAGTATCAAGTTTAATGTTGCCTATAACTTGATGTTAATGTTCATAAAACTACAGCTACATATTCACATATACAAAAGTTAAAACCTTTTTACATATGTTGAGTAAAAACCTTTTTGAGTTGAGCTTATCAGTTATGTGCAATTTAAATTGGTTTATCTCTTGGAATTCTTTGTCAGATAGGATCATCAAATAAAATGTCTTAATTATAATAAAAAATGTATTCTGTCTTAACTAACAATGAAATTTTAAATGTCAAGAATTTACATATTAAACTTTGTGAAGAAAAGTCAAAATTTTGCAAATATATTACATGAAATATAGAAATTACAATTTATTTTTTTGACAGCAAAATTAAAATTTATTAGACATAAAAAAACAGAACTGATCCCATTCGTTTCATTGAAGATTTACAGAGATATATACAGGCAACTTGGACAACGTTGAAGAGCTCAGTTAGGGCGACATGCCACCTCAACAGGCCCAGCTTGTCTTGCAAACTGCATCAATCAAAAACTACATTAAATATAATCATATGAAATAAATAAAGTAAACAAATGTTCAATTATTGGGTGAGTAGAGAGAATTTATGCACCTGAAAATAAGCTTTGAGCTTCTTTTGGAGTGTGGAATATTCTTTCTTTAGCTGCAGAAAACTTCTCTTGCATCTGTAAACCAACCAACAAACCGACCCCACTATAAATTAATCAAATAAAGTCATGTTCTAAAATATTTACTAAATGAATTTACCTTATGAAATGATAATTAAACATGCAAGAAATTAAAGTAATTAAGATACTAATTAAGTGTGATGAAAATTATGTACGTACCCCTCTGCATTTGCCACCCTGCAATGCTCCCTGAACTGCGTGCATTCATATTTCACCTTCCTGGCTCCAATGCTGCACACAAAAACAAAGAGGAAATTATAAGATTATTATTACTTAGATTTCAACTAACCATTGTAGCCATGCATGCATGTATATATATGTTGTTTTAATTTGCACAAATTAAACCTTGAGCAACTGTCCTTGAACTGGTGCATCAACCCATCCAGCTTAGCAAAGTCAAGAGGACTTCTCTCCCTATGAACATCCAAAATTTCCATTCATTTCAAGTTACGTTAAGTCGATGATAATTTATCTTAATGAAGAAAAGTTGAAGGTGGTTGTTAAATAAGTGTTGAGTTTCATTAGAAATAAGTAATTTAATAGTATAAATTTATGAGAAAGTGGAAAGAGGTTGGTCTAACAAGCTATACAAATAATGATGACATTAAAGTTAAATGGGGATGAAATCCTTGATTAAAGGCGAAAAGTTTCAATAAAGGCAAAATCTTTTATCTTAATATCTTAGTATTGATAGCCAAGACTGTGTCGTCGAGTGACGTGCACCAACTAACTTATAACTTTAGGTTAGAATGTCATAGGTTTGATTCTCAATTCTTCAGATGTACCAAAAAATATATCTTAATATATAGGCGGTTTAGCATATCTTTAGCTTAGCTAACCAATGGGGTAATTTAATAATACTTACATTGCATGTTCAATGTTTTGCACTAAGCGAGCAGAATCTCGATAGAATAAAGTGACAACTTCCTCTGCAAAGTTAGGGTTAACATCATCTTGCAGCTCTTCCAACTGAACAAATTGATCATCTAGATACCCCTGCACTAATAATATATACTGAGTGCATGTGTAGTATACTATATATGGGATAAAGCATGATCTGATCTTGAAATTTTTATGATACAACTTTAACATAATAAGATTGTTAAGTTGAAATATGTGTTAATTAAAGTAAAGTAAGGAATAAGAAGAAGTAATTAATTACCTGATCAAAAAGAGACTTCCTCATGGTGGCAAGCTGCCTAGGCAAGTGCTTTCTTTCCATGGAAGCTAAGGAATGAAGAAACTAAATTATATGATATGTAGAGGTTGATATATATATATCTAGATATTATATATAAATTATATATATGTGGGGAGAGACAAATAGACAATGAACTTATGAGTTATATATAGAAAGGGGAGTGATGGTGTAATTGTGGTTTGGCAAACATGGTATTTATAGCTAGTGGAGGAAGCTAAGACAGAACTACCCATCAAGATTATAATGATATGATGGTTTGAGTTTTGGAATATTTTTTAAAACATATTCTCAAATATTTTACAACAAAAAATTCAATGAAGTGACTGATCTAAATGACGTAAATTATTTATTTATAATTTATTTGATTCCAATATATATGTGTGTCTGCGCAGGCAAGCATGCATATATACATGCATGTTTTTGGCACACATTAAAATTGTAAGTGGTTTTGTGAGGCTTTATTGGTCAATATACATGGAAGTACATTTTTGTGGGATAATAATAATAATATGGGTAAATTGTGATTTATCCCTTTCACAAATATGCCAATTATCAATCTCACTCCTGATTTATTAGTGACGTACGTAGATGTTGCCTATTAATTTTCAAAACGTGACATATATTGGCCTTCTCCTGAATTATTTGTGGTTACTTGCCGTCTTCCCTATTCGAAGACCACGTTTTTCTCCTCCATTTTTCTTTATTTCTTTGTTTTCCTTCCACCGACAACAATGTTTCTTCTTCTTCTTCTTATTAGGGGAAGGGCAATATATGTCCGTTGTGAAAATTGAGGGGCAACATTTACACCATTATATTAATAATTCAGATGTGACATTGATAATTGACATATTTGTGAGGGACATAAATTACAATTTTTCCTAATAATAATATAATTGTAAAAACCATTTTCTTTTTAATTTTGCATTCCTTAGAGGAAAATTAACATGTTACTACAATATCAATTTGATAACTTTGCAATTATTTTATTTAATATTAAGTTAGTAACACATTAATTTGAAAGAAACTCCTAAAATGTAGAAATCTTTTCAAAATAAAATTTTTAAACCTTAAATTTATTTGTTTAAAAAAAACCTTAAATTATTTTCTAATAATTTTGCATCAGTTTTCCATATATAATTTTTTTAACTAAATATATATTAGTATATTTATACTTGTCATTTAAATTATAAATTACTATTTATTTTTAAATATAAGGAATATATATAGAGTATTCAAAAAAAAAAGTTAGTGTTATTTTTTTTTTTAATTTTGGAAAGATTTCTATATTTTAGGAGCTTCCAATTCCTAGTTGATGTTAATACTAAACAAATTAATTGCAGAATTAACTAATTGATATTGTAGTAGAATGACTAGAGTTTTAAATTAGAGTTATTTCCATTTTTTGTCCTGCAACTATTAGTTACTTCTACCTTTGGTTTTCAATTATTATTTTTGTCACATTTGGTGTATGACTTTTATTTTTTATTTTTTGTCAAATTTAGTCATCATTTCAACCAAATTTTTTGATAGAAAATGACTACAATTCATCACAGCTTCAACTCAAAATCATATCAACTTGAATATCTCAATGCTTGTGCATATAAATGTATGGTTTTGAACTAGAAATGTGGTATATTTTTTGTTTTCTAGTTTTTACTTAATTAAAATTTGGTTTAAAGGACCAAATGTGACAAAAAAGAAACAAGAAAAAAAGAAAAAAAAGTCAAGCACTAAATGTGATAAAAATAATACTTGAAGACCAAATATGAAAGTGATACAATAATCATGGAACAGAAAGTGAGTATTATTTAAATTATCAAGTTCGATTTTTATTACAGAGTAATAACATTTTGGTCTCACGACTAAAAATCATGGACTAAAAAAACATATGACGTGACATGTGTATGATATGACTAATGTTTAAAAAATCACTAGGCGCTCGATTTTTTTAACTTTTTTTTTTTTAAATTTTTTAAACCTAAAATTCTAAATACCTAATTACCTAAAACACATATATAAGATTATAATTGATTAATTTAATTGTAAATTGTATACAACTTTAAAAACTTACAATTTACAAGTTAAAACTTAAAACACATTTTCACAAATATTGAATAGACAAAGCCACAACTCACAAACTATCAAAACGAACTTCCAAATAAATTCATCATTTCATCAAATCAATACAATACAAAATAACTTAATAAAGAAATCACCAAACTTCCAAATCATAGTCCATGCAAACTCCAAAAGTCTAAAATAAAGAAATCATTATATCAATACAAAAACTCTAAGTCTTCAAGGGTTATGGGCAACTAGAGGCAGAGAGATGCGGGCAGCGTCTAGCGTCTCGTCATCGCACTATTGCTGATTTTATGTTTTTAAGGGTTATTCGCCAAAACGATGTCGTTTTGGCAAATAACCTTAAAAAAAGGGGATCGATACCGAAACGGTCGACTCAGCGGTCTAGGTGCCGCCTAGGCGCCTGACCGTAGAGGAGACCGATTCCTGTATTCTTTGATGCGGTCGAGCGCCGTCTAGACACGATTTTTACAACATTGGATATGACAAAGTGTGATGCAACATTGACAATACATGACAAAGCGTTGACATGACAAAAATTATCCATTTAAAAATAAATTTTGCATGTAGCCTAATTTTTTTATTTTTATTTTTTTAAAAAAACTCCCAATTTAATTTATCCGATATGATCCCCCATGCAACGAAAAGACATTTTCTTATGATTCTTATTTTCTCAGAAATATCGAAAAATTGTGAATATTGGGTTTATTCGTCCACATAATAAAAGGCGATGAATAAATTTATGCCCAAGCTGTCACCTATTGTTGGGCTAGTTGGCACTAATAATTTAAAATGACGTAAATCCATGCATGCATATATGCACTACTTGCCTTATTCTGCATGCCCTTTATTTCCCAATTTACTACTTAGTTCGATCCTAAAAATCTATTTCACATCACAAAAGTGGTTCGTACGGTCCAAAACTCTAATCAATTTAGAAATCGTGTCTGAATTAAATACGTAAATGCTCACAAAGTAAAGAATAATCTAATACCCAATTATAAATAATTCGGGATCAAATAGGTGAATTTTATTAAGGGGTGTTTGGTAAATAACTGTTAACTGGTTGAGTTAGTAGGTTTGACTAGTTGATAGCATTAACTTATTGTAGAAAGATGTTTTGGTAAATTGGTTGTTAGCTGATAACTTATTACAAGTAAAATAAGTTTCTCAAAAAATTACTTTGAGTAGCTTTTTGAATTTTAACGTTTTGGAGCAATAAGTTATTACAAAAAGTTAATTAATCGAACACTTATATTGTGGTTAAACAATCAATAGTGATCAAATAAATCAAAATTGACTGATAAGCTAACTATGTTACTAAACATGACCTAAGTTTACCGTTAATATATAGTTTAGTATGAAAGTAATGCAGCTTTATTTTTGCTTTAAAAAAAAATAATTTAGTAGGAAAAATTTATCTTTTAATCACTTAATCGTTCTCGAGTTATAAATTTTATTGATTAGGCACTAATTTAGGTAGTCAATATTATTAAAAAAAAGGCAGTCAATAAGTTCAACCAAATGACTAATTAAATAGTCCAACAGTAATAGCAACGGTCCAAACTCAGAAGCTCAATTTTGTAAGCACGTAAGCTCATGTGACAAATTAGACACCATTTGAGCATTATTATTATAATAAGACTCAGTCAAAGTACGTGTTGCATCAAAAAAATAAATACCTTAATATTATTATATAATCCTAGCTAGCTAAATATTATAATAATTGAAGGAAAACATTACAATGTAATGATCAAATTTGTAAATATTATTGGAAGAGAGACACTAAGAGTGTGTTTGGTTCGCACATGGGAATCAGAATCGGAATGAGTATCAAATACTTGATAATGGTAATAGGTTTTGGTGAAAGTATTTTGCATGTTTGGTAGTAGGGTGGAATGAGAATGATTTTCAATATTGTTGTTTGATTATGTATGATCTAAAAACCTGGAATGAAACCCTTATAAATAAGAGAATGAGTTTTTCCATTAATGGGGTATTCTAAACCCATAGTAGTGTTTTAAAAACCTGCCAACCAAACAATAACAATGACTTTCATATTCATTTCTGAATCCTAAACCTGTCAACCAAACACACCCTAAATATATAACTTGATTTGAGAGCAATTGAGGAATCACAAAAATATTATTTTCTCTCGTCTAGTATAAAATTAAATATAACAAATAAGTTTTTAATTTATGATACAAACATAAATTTATATCATAAAATATCGCTCTCAAATAAATTTAAAACCCAATTACATTAATCTCAATTTACAAATTACAAGTTGCGAATACTAGCCTAACATGGAAAAAAAAGTGTACGGTGGAGACAGTGGGGTGGGAATATTAAAAGAAACACCTAGAAAAGAAATAGCATTAGGTAACTAAATAAGGAAAAAAGAAATGGGAGTGTAAGGAATCCATAAAATAAATAAATAAATAATCTGATCAATAACGACGCCCTATGTGCACACGTACAAGTGTGTATATGTTCATCTAGATGATTGCCCTTCATGCATGCACTGTCCTGCATTATAGCGTATCACAATAAACTACAATATGTCTGAATAAACCCTAATTATATATAAAAGACTCTTCTAAATTTGTATAATATTTAGACTATTCTCATTTACATCAGACCGATTCAATTAAGCTAATAAACAAAGTGCTAGTTATATTGGTTTTTCGATATGAGAGAAAATTATGAACTCTTAGACATTTCTTAAAGGATTAGAGTACACAATCACTCACGCTAACCAAGTTGATTATATTTTTAATATATTAAATATTCATTTTTAGTACTCTTTATATTACAATTTCATTTTATGATTTTTTTTTTTTTTAGTGTATTACAAGTTCATGTAGTATATATATAAAAATTTTCAATATACTAAAAATGAATATTTATCAATAATCTACCTTATAGTGTGAATTATGATTTACAATATAGTTTGCACATGCACTATAGTATTTTTTATTTTTATTTTTATTTTTCTGTTTTGGTAATTACAACCTAATATATACGTAGTATCTGCTCAACATGATTATGTCAACATACATCTTTAATTGGGATGACATTCTCAGTC